AAATGGGAAAAATACACACATTCCGTTGGGTATAGAAATCTATCTTACCTTACAGAGAAAGTAGGAGGGGAGGAGGATAAGAGAATGGAACAGGCTGATACAAGGAAGGGTGGTTTGGGGGAGGCAGTGGTGAGAAGAGATAGATAAATTGGGGGAATAGTAGAATAGAGGGAAATACATAATTAGTCGTAACTGTGAGTGGAATGAACTCGCTCTTAAAATGGAAGCAGATAGCAGAATGGATTACATGATTTAGACATAAAGGGTGATGTCATAAACAAATTAAGGGAGCATGAAATAGTTTACCTTTCTGATCTACAGATAAGCAGAGAAAACATGACCAAACAAAAAAGAAAGAGTATTATGGGATTATAAAATGGATAATTTTGATTACATTAAATTAAAAAGATTTTGCACAAACAAAACCAATGTAGCCAAGATAAAAAGGAAGGCAGAAAACTGGGGGGGGGGGGATTTACAACAAGTTTCTCTGATAAAGGCCTCATTTCTCAAATATATAGAGAACTGAGTCAAATTTATGAGAATATGAGTCATTTCCCTATTGATAAATGGTCAAAGGATATGAACAGAAAGTTTTTAGATGAAGAAATCAAACCTAACTACAATCATTTGAAAAATGCTCTAAATCATTTTGATTGGAGAAATATGAATTAAAACAATTCTGAGGTACCACCTCACACATATCAGATTGGTTAATATGACAGAAAAGGAAAATAACAAATGTTAGAGGGGATGTGGGAAAATTGAGACCCTAATACACTATTGGTAGGGTTGTGAACTGATCCAGGCATTCTGGAGAGGCCTAAAGGCCTACAAAACTGTGCATGCCCTTTAACCCAGCAAGTACAACCATTAGGTCTGTATTCTGAAGAAATCTTTTAAAAAGGAAAATTACCTACATGTGTAAAAATATTCGTTGCAGATCTCTTTTTTTTTGCAGCAAGGAATTGAAAATTGAGAGGATTCCCATCACTTAGTGAATGGCTGGATAAATTGTGGACTACTATTGTGCTATTAAAAAAAAATGAGCAGGATGCTTTCAGAAAGCCTGGCAGGACTTATATGAACTGATGCAAAATGAAGTGAACAAAACCAGGAGAACATTGTACACACTAACAGTAATATTGGACAATGATCAACAGTAAATGACTTAGCTATTCTCAGTAATACAATGATTTAAGATAATTCTGAAGGACTGATGAAGAAAAATGCTATCCACTTCCAAAGAAAGAACCATTGGTGTCTAAATGCAGATTGAAGCATACTTGTTTTCCCCAAACTTTCTTTATTTTCCTTTTTGTCTAATTTCTTTCACAACATGACTGATATGAAAATGTTTTACATGACTCCATATGTATAACCCATATCAAACTGCTTACCTTCTCAATGAGGGGTGAGGGAAGGGAGGGAAAGAATTTGGAACTCAATTTAAAAAAAAATGAATGAAAATTGTTTTTACATGTAATTGGAAAAAAGAAAAGAAAAAAGAAAATTAGAGATATCAAAATAATGTTTCATGAAAAAAATGAGCATGATTAAAAAAACAAAATGAGAGGGACTTAAGAGAAGTAGAAGAGATTAAGAAATGGCAAGAAAACACAGAAGAACTATACAAGAAATATCTTAACATTGCTGATAACCATGACGTGGGGTTGCTGATCTAGAGCCAATCATCTTGGAGAATGAAGACAAGTAGGCTTGTGGGAGGTGACAGAATTCCATCTGAGCTATTTAAAAGATGAAAAAATGATGTTGTTAAAAGTGTTGCACTCAATATGCCAATAAATTTGGAAAACTCAACAGTGGCCATTGGATTGGAAAAGATCAGTTTACATCTCAACCCTAAAGAAGGGCAATGCCAAAGAATATTCAAATTATCAAACCTATCAAGTTGTGCTCATCTCACATACCAGCAATATTATGCTTAATATTCTGCAAGTTAGGTTTCAGCAATATGTGAACAGAGAATTACTAAAATAGGCTGATTTTCAAAGAGGCAGAGGAAATAGAGACCAAATTGCCAACATTTACTGGATCATGGAAAATACAAGGGAGTTCCAGAAAAAAAAATTTACTTCTTCATTGACTACACTAGAGTCTTTGACTATGTGGATTACAACAAAATCTGTCAAGTCCTCAAAGAGATGGGAGTACCAGATCATTTTATTTACCTCTTAAGGAACCAGTGTGCAGGTCAAGAAGCAACAATTAGAACCAAACATGGAACAAGTGATTGGTTTAAGATTGGGAAAGGAGTATGACAAGACTGTACATTGTTACCTTATTTAACTTATAGCAGAGTACATCATATGGAATGCCAATGTGGATGAATCAAAAGCCAGAATTAAGGTTGCCAAGAGAAATATCTATAATCTCGATATGCAGATAATACTCTGATGGCAGAAAGTGAAGAAGAATTAAGAAGCCTGTTGATGAGGGTGAAAAAGGAGTGTGTAAAAGCTGGCATCAAAAATACTAAGATCTTGGCAACTGATCCCATCACTTCTTGGCAATTAGAGGGAGAAGAAATGGAAGCAGTGTCAGATTTTATATTCTTGGGTGCAAAGATCACTGCAGATGGCAATTGCAGTCATGGAATTAAAAGATTCTTGTTCCTTGGAAGGAAAGCTATGGCAAATCTGCATTACATACTAAAAAGCAGAGATGTTATCTTGCTGATAAATGTATAATCAAAGCTATGGTTTTTCCAGGAGGCTGAGTGACAAACTTCAAAATTACGATGCTAAAGAAGACTTACGGGGACAGAGCCAAGATGGCAAAGTGAAAGCAGTGACTTGCTTGAGCTCTCCCCCAAGCCCCTCCAAATACCTGTAAAAAAATGGCTCTAAACAAATTCTAAAGCACAGAACCCACAAAAAGACAGAGTGAAACAAATTTCCAGCCCAAGACAACCTGGATGGTTGATCAGAAAGGTATATCAGGCAGGGTGGGGAGAGGAGTGCAGTTTGGCATGGGCGCACTGGCTGCAGTGAAACTGGAGCAAGCCTCAGAGGACTGAATCGTGAGCAGCTGTGGCAGTTTCCAGACTTCTCAACCCACGAACGCCAAAGACAACTTAGAAGGGCAGTAGTAAAAGTCTGCTTCTGTGATGAGAGAAGCTCAGGGTCTCAGCCCCATTCCCCAAGGAGCTCATCCCTAAGGTGGTGGCTACCTCCTGAGCTCCCAGCCCACAGACTGAGGGGTAATCTGGTGGCTGATCAGAGGAGGATTGCAGGGATCTCTTTGCCAATGCTGAGGCAGGAGTCTCTTGCTTTGCCCCTGCTTGGATCTGGCTCACAGTCCTGGGTGGCGGCCCTGGGGCAAGGAGGAGCGCTAGCCATGGAGCTCGTAGTGGTGGTAAAGAGAAAATCCTCCTTACAGTTCCAAGGCAGAAAAGAGTGCCTGTGCTTACTCATAGACTAGAGCACAGGCCAGCGAAAGAGTAAACACCTCGCCCCTTATCATACCAACTTGAAAGAACTGAAAATTTACAGGTCCCTAGAAGTATTTCTGAAAACAGCTGCACAAAACCCCCAAAGCTTGGAACAGTACATTCTCCACACTGGAAGCAGACTCCTACCTTAACAAAGGGTTTAAAACTCAAGTAATTGGCTGGGATCATGAGCAAAAAAAGGCACAAAAAAGTCAGACCATGGAATCTTTCTTTGGTGACAAAGAAGATCAAAACATACAAGCAGAAGAAAACAAAATCAAAGCTCCTAGATCCAAAGGCTCCAAGAAAAATATGAATCAGTCCCAGGCCTTGGAAGAGCTCAAAAGGGATTTTTAGAAGCAAGTAAGAGAAGTAGAGGAAAAACTAGGAAGAGAAATGAGAGTGATGCAAGAAAATCATGAAAAACAAGTCAACAGCTTGCTAAAGGAGAACCCCCAAAAAATACTGAAGAAAATAACACCTTAAAAGACAGCCTAACCCAAATGGCAAAAGAGGTCCAAAAAGCCAATGAGGAGAAGAATGGCCTAAAAAGCAAAATTGGCCAAATGGAAAAGGAAGTCCGAAAGCAGATTGGGAAAGAGGTAATCAGAAGCAAATACTTCTGAGGAGGGACAGGGTCAAAATAAAGAATAGAATAAATGGGGGGGCAGGATATGATTAACTGAAATAGGGTTAGTTTTTCACGTGTCTACGGGAAGTGTTTTGCATAACTGCACATGTATGGTCTGTATTGAGTTGCTTGCCTTTTCGATGAGCGTGGGTGGGGAGGGAGTAAGGGAGAAAATTTGGAACCTGAAGTTTTAAAAACACATATTTAAAAAAAAATGTTTTCACATGCAACTGGGAAATAAGAAATACAGGAAATGGGGTAAGAAATCTATCCTGCCCTACAGGAAAATAGAAGGGGAAGGGGATAAGAGAAGGGGGGGGAGAGATAGAAGGGAAGGCAGACTAGGGGAAGGGGTATTCAGAATCCATGCCATCTTGGGGTGGGGGGAGGGGTGAGATGGGGCAAAAATTTGGAATTCAAAATCTTGTGGAAGTAAATGTTGAAAACTAAAAATAAATAAATTTATATTTAAAAAAAACTGCAAAGAAAATAAACAAGACTCATGAGAGTTCCTTGGACAGCGAGGAGTTCAAATCAATCAGTTAATACTTAAAGAAATTAATTCAGGCTATTCACTAAAAGGCCAAATACTGAAGTTGAAGCTTAAATACTTTAGCCACATAATGAAAACATTGGATTCATTGGAAGAGACCCTAATGTTGAGAAAGATTGAAGGCAAAAGGATAAGGGGATGAATTGGATAGATAGTGTCATGGAAACAAAGAATGTGAACTTGAACAGGCTTTGAGAGACAATGAAGGATAGAAGGACTTGGCATGCTATGGTCCATGGGATCACAAAGAGGACATGATTGAACAACTAAATACCAACGATATTCCAAAGCATCTCAAATAACAGTTTAAAAAACATAGGACCAATTCTCCTATAAAATTACCCAGCAAATTAGGTCCTTACCTTCTGTTTCCTGCTGCATTCTGGGTGGCATTATACCCTGGGGGTGGTGGTGGAAACCAGGATTGTCTGTTAAGAAATAACACATGTTAGAAACAGAATGTTCAGAAGATCTAATCCCAAAACCATGTCTTTTTAGGATCAACTTACAACATTTAGCAGCCAAAAAGATTACTTTTTTATAAATACCAATTTATAAATAGAATGGAAAATACCCGTGATACATTAATGATACATTCATGCTCTCTATATTGAAATCAATTTTCTGGTTTCTTTTGAACACTAAATAAGACATTGTGGTGATGATAGCGTCGAAAAAATAATGACTGAAAATATAAAGAATCAGACTCAGAGACCTAGTGTCACCTTTAGTGCAGAAATCTTTTTGCCAATAAAAAAAAATAAACCTCATTTAATTACCCTTTGAATTGACAGGAGCATCTAAGAGGTCCAGCAAAAAGATTAAAGGGTAAAGCAATAAAGAGTGTCCAAAGGATGATAGACAGGAAAATGAGGGGTCTGGAAAATATGCTATATGGAGAATTATTGCAAGGACTAAGGATGTTTAATCTGGTGGAAGAGGAAGATTGGGGCAACCATAATAGCTATTTTCAAATATATGATAGTCTGTCACATGGTACAAGATGTATTTTTTATCACAACAAAGGAGAGAAGTAGGATAAATGGGTGAAAAGTTATAGTGACTCAAATTCCAACTCAATATTTTGACATATGAAATACCCAAACCATTCATTAATGCTTCACATTGTGGTAAATTTCTAGCCAATGGTAGTGTTAAAGTAAAAGCTAGATCACCAGGTATGAAGGGCATTGTAGAAGAGACTCCTGCTTTGGTGGCAGATTAGACTAACTGACCTCTAAGGCCCCTTGTAACTCTAGACTTGAGGGGCCAAAGAATGGAGGTTGTCAAGTTATGGTGCTGGGCTGACTGAAGTGGTTTTTTTCCCCCAAATCTCCCCAAGAAATGCAATAGTCACAAGCATAAGAGCTAGGCATGAGTCAGCATTGTGTTTTTCATTAATATCATTTGGTTTCTGTCCCTCAAACACTGTACTATTGATTTTATAGCATGGAATTCCTCAATCTCTTCTTCTTTCCTGGCATTACAGGTTTATTTACTGTTCTATACCTATTGGATGGGTCTTAACAAAGGTTGCAAAGGCATGTGGATAGAGAGCTGGCATTGTAGTCAAGAAGATGTGTGTTCAAGTCTTACCTCTGATACTTATTGGCCATTTGACCTAATCAAGTCAATTAACCTCTCAGTGCTTCTTAAACTGTGGGTCACAAGCCCATATGGGGTTGCAAAAATTTGGCAGCAGTAAAAGGTTTCTGAAAGTAAATTTGGCTTGTCTGGAATGGGTGTTTAAAGCTTGTCTTTGTATCTTCTCCCCTCCCTTCTTCATTCCCAGTTTCTCTATTTTTATAGTTTTCCATGTCTCCCAAATGCCCACCCATGCCCTGGTAATGACACACCCATTGCTGCCCTCCTCATTTCCTGCCCAATGGGAGGAAGTATGGTTTCATGTGAGAGGTACTATGCTATGAAGAAAAACCTGAGTTCTAGATTAGGCTCTGTCTCTAGCTATGTAAAATTGAGTGTTTCATTGAACCTTCTGGGTTTCAGTTTCCTCATCTATAAAATCAGCGTATTAGATTTAGACTAAATCTCTAAGCAGCATGGCATAGGAGGATAAACATTGGCAAAAATTAATTCAAAATCAAACACATAATTAATCTGAGGTGTTTCTGGCAGCACTTGCCTGTATTGCATTGAACAACTTCACTGCAGCCTTGGTTCTGAACACAAAGCATGTGCACTTTGCACTGAGCATGTCATCATGCCAAAGAACACTGCCAAAATGAGAAAAGGGGTTGTGACTAGAAAAAGTTTAAGAGGCCGTGCTATAGGCAACTCTCTAAGCCTATCAATTACAGAGATGGTTCAAATCTGCATTACTAGAGGGAATTCATCACTGGAAACTTTTTATGAAAATGAAATGAGTTCCAGCTCCTATCCCTATCTTACCAAAAAAGCAGGACCTAATCAGAGTAGAAGATGGTAATGATCATAGGAATACTGAATATTTTACCTAGGAGTCCTGTCTATATAGTTGTTATCAAAACCTTTGATTGCACGATTATAACTAGCCAGTCTATACATGTTAAAGATAGTAACCACTTAGGCAGCATGATTTAAGGGGTCTTAGGAAAGATGTACTTGCACCAAAGTTTCTGCCCTACTATGATGACATAATGATCTATGTTTCCATTATCACTGTTATTTTGAAGTGTGGGGCATTGTCTCTAGAAGATTTCTATTAAGATTTATGGTGTAATGCAAAGAGCAATGCATAAGGAGAGAAAAGATATAGATTCTTATTTCTGGCATAGCTACTGATTTGCTATATCAAAGACTTAATTGATCTTGGAGCTAGAAGGCATCATAAGATCATAGAGCTAGAGTTAGCAGGTACCTCAGAGGCCATCTAGTTCAACCTCATTCCCAATTGAACAGATGGTGAAACTGAGACCCAGGGAGGGTAAGTGACTTGCATTACACAATCCCTCAAAACTGACCCTGTGCCTTTTCATTAGTTGTCTCTTCACAGGCCTGAAATGCACTTTCTCCTTGCATCCATCTCACGAAGTCTTTCTCATCCTTTAAGATGTATCTTAGACACTATTTTCTGACTGAAGCCTTTCTTGATCCCCCCCAGTTACCAGTGTCCTCCCTCCCAAACCACCTTATGTTTGACCACTTTGTGTGTATATGTGCGCCTATATTAACTCTATATTTATGCTGTATATATTTTTATATATACTTATTCTCTCTGTTAGAATATAAGTACAATGCTAGAAAAAATTTTTTTTCATTCTTTGGTACTTACATCCCTTGTTCCTAGCACTTAATAGACAATAAAGATATGTTGATTGATTAATTATTGATTGCCTAAGATCATTCATATAGTAATCATAAAAGGCAAGATTTGAACCCAAGAAATTCTAATCTGGAGCCACTGTTTATCCCCCTATACCATGCTCCTCAGAGATCTAGTCTAAACCCAACACACTGATTTTACAGATGAGGAAATTCAAGCCCAGAAGAGTCAATGAAACATTTAGTTTCACATAGCTAGAGACAGAGCCTAATCTAGAACTCGGGTTTTTTCTTCATAGTGTCGTACTCCTCACATGATTCCATACTTCCTCCCATTGGGCAGGAAATTAGGAGGGCAGCAATGGATGGGTCATCACCAGGGCATGGGTGGGCATTTGGGAGACATGGAAGATTATAAAAATAGAGGAATTGGGAATGAAGAAGGGAGGGGAGAAGACTCAAAGACAAACTTTAAACGTCCATCCCAGAGAAGCCCAATTTACACAACCAGGTAGAGGAGTACTTTGATATAGAAGTACAACTAAATTACCAGAAAAATATTTTCCCAATGATAAACAAACACTGAATACCTCTTTTTCTTTACAGGAGTTGTGATAGGAGTAGCAGCAACAGTGGTGCCTGTCGTGGTGCTGTTTTTCAAAGAAGCTCCCGGTGGTCTATATTTAAAAAGAAAAGGTTTGCAGGTTTGGTTCTGGTTGTTGTTGTTGTTTTGAGAGAAGGTCATGGTTGATTATAATAGTTGGGTTGGTGAGGAGGCCAAGATAAAGTAAGACATGCTGATTTCTAGTCTTTAAACCTACCCTCTCTTTCAACCCCCAGCATCTATTAACACCAGCTACTGCACTTGGCCTCTTTGCCTACCTTCCTTGAGAAACACTGATTTTACATTAAACATGATTGAAAATCACCACAAGAGTAGGTTGTGGAGTGGGAGGGGGAGGGAGAGAAAGATATTGGATAGTGATAGGAAGACTCCTAAGTGAGCATCGACAACAAAAAAATTAATGCACAAAAACAATAAGAGGTGAACAAGGAGATAGGCACAAATAATCTTAATAGCTTGTTAATTTTTACATATTAATAAATAAAATTTCTTTAAAAGTAAAATTCCTAACAAAAGTTTACATTTTTATACAATCTTCATGTTCTTTAAACATCAAAACTATTGTTTTAAAGGAAAGAAGGAAAATAAATTAATATTGATGATTAAAATTTGGCCTGACAAGATCTCAACATACCTTCCATTCATACATTCTGGCCAATACCCATTTTATCTAAATGCTATAGTGGGCACCCCTTACAGAGAACATGATTATGGAGTCCCATTTCTATTAATAAAAGAATTGCCGGGAAATGAAGACAAGTAAGAAATAGGTAGTAGTGGTGGTGGCCAGGAACATCATGAAAATGAAAAGCATTAACAGTCAACGACCAGTAGAAAAGAATAAGGAAGAAGGGGTAAGGGATCATAAGCTCATAGGCTCATAGATGTAGAGGTAGAAGGGATCTCATAGACCATTTAATCTAAGCCCTTCATCTTATAGATGAAGAAACTGAGGAGTTTAAGTAACACACCCAAGGTGATACAGGTAATTAGGTATTAGAGGTAGGATTTGATGGGAGGATAAAGGAAGGAAAGGAGAGAAAGGAGAAAAGGAAAAAATTAGGAAGGCGAGTGAAAGGAAAGAGAGGAGAGGAAGGCAGAGAAGGAAAGAGGAAGAGAGGAGAAGAGAGGAGGTAGGAGAAGAAGAGAGGGAAGGGGAGGACAGGGGAAGAAGAGAGGAGAGAGAGGGAGAAAGAAGGAGAGAGAGAGGGAGAAAGAGGGAAAGAGGAGAGAGAAGGTGAGGGAGAGAGGAGAGAGAAGAAAGGAGAGCAGAGAGAAGAGAAGGAGAGCAAGGGGAGAGAGGAGAGAGAGAGAGAGAGAGAGAGAGAGAGAGAGAGAGAGAGAGAGAGAGAGAGAGAGAGAGAGAGAGAGGGAAGGAGTGGGGGAGAGGGAGAGAGGAAGGGAGAGAACAAATAGAAAGAGAACCCAGATTTCATGTTTATTAAAAAAAATGTATTTATAAAAATGATAGTGTGAGTCTGAAGTTAACGTAGAAGGTAAGGGTAGGCAATACCTTAAATATACATACAAAGAAACAAAGATATTGTACTCTAAAATATAGTTTCAGTAGAAATGTACATACGGCTTTGTTGCTTCTGATGTTCTGAATGTGGACAAGCCTCTGATGGGGGAAAAACATCAAAGTTTGAGAAATAAACAAGTGGCAACAAAGAATAATTAATATCATCTGTGTTACAATCATCCATATTTTGATTGTTCAGTTTAATGACAGGTTAGAAATTCTTTGAGTGGAGGAAAGAGGAAAGCACAAGTATTTAGATAAATACCAAGAGATGGCCTCCCCATCTCGGCTGTATCTTGTGAGAATCTCCAAAGAAGTCTTTTTTTTCTCTCCCCAAAAAAAGCTGCTTCTGTTTTTACCAAATGTCTTTATTTGCTGTGCAGCTGTGTTCAATCATTTTCCTTGGTAATGAGAATGTAAAATCTGCATTTATATGATTTTTTGTTAATATTCTTGCTGCCAGAATGTTTTTTAAAGTAATATACATGTGGTAAATGTAATGAGTTCCAGAGCTGGACTCACTTGATTTCCAAAGACCCCACTAAATTTTCCTTTTTCTTTGGTTATGGATCTGATATAAAGGCCATTCACACTTGAACCTTCATATATTTTCTTACTACCAGAAACATGAATTATTAGAGACCTTATGGAATACATTTAATAAGAATGGAGTTTTACACAAAAGACAGGTAAGGGTGAGAAGAGTTATGTACTTGAACCTTTCCCCAAAGTTAGTAAATACTTGTACCTATTAGTTAGTCGGTTATCCAAGGTATTGGCCTTATAAGTTTTAGCAGCATCATTTCTGTCTGAAATCCTTTATGAAGAAACATGAGACAAAAGTCTTGATAAGCATTCAGTTTTCAGTGCCCCTTTCAAATTCTCTTTTAAGCTAGAATCATTTAAAAACATCATTCTTCCCCAATGAGAATCATTTAAAAAAATTTAGTCTCTGTCCCTTTCCCTTTATGCTCCACCCCCATCCAACCAGATGCAGGCCTTGTTCATTTTATTTCTGATGATTCACTCACATCCCTCTCTGCTGTCATAGTCATGGACCTAACTCAGGCCTTCATTTTCTCTAGACTTGTATAATAACTTGATACTGTGCTCTATAGGAACCGAACAAAACTATGAACCTAATGCCTTTCCTCTTCCCAAGGAGTGTGAGGTGGTCTGAGGGAAGCATCCGCAGTTAGTTGGTTAGTTAGTAACTTAAATACCATTTGCCTTTTCAGAATTATCTCTCCCTATTTCCCTTCATGTACTCTATGGTCCAGCCTATCTAAACTATTCACTGTTTAATGAACACCTTCAATGCTTTCCTGCCTTTACCAATGCCATCCTTTATGTCTGGGCACAATCACCCTCCTCCTCTTCTATTTACCTGTTGAAATCCTTATGTTTTCTGAAGCCTGATTTATGATGTCACCAGACCACATACTGGAGTCAGTATGAAAGCATGGTAAGTGTCCTGAATGCCACATCTGACCAGTGAAAAAGGTCCTGGTATAAGTATAGTGCTAGCAGGGAGAATGGGTGGAGAAGTAGTTTTTTGGAAGTGGTATTCTCTCCTCCTTTGTTCTCCTCTCATGCCCCACCTTTCTGACCACATACTTGCCCAATATACCCTGCATATTGTATGAATACATATTTCAGTGAAAGGCAATTCTAAACTCAAATGTTACCCAGGACCAAAATAGGATTAAAAGGAACTAGGCCCAGAAAAATAAAATTATTTAAGGAACCAGTATCTGATAGACCACAATCTGCAATATATCCCCAATAAAGCAGGTCCTTCTTCTGCTCCCAAAGTAAGGTCTTCTGGTCCTTGAAGAACATACTTAGTTGCTCTATAATAAACATTTGTGCAGTCAATTAACTTGTGTAAGTAGAAAAGAAACAAATGTTTGGAAGGCCAAGCTAAAACAGGAATAAATGTGACAACACAGGATACCTCTAATACATTCCTATAGTGAGAAAATAACAGAGGATGATGACATCTATGTATTTTGTAGCTTGAAAAAACGTTGTGGTTTGTCCTTAATTCGTGAAGAGGACCATGACATGACTTGCAATTGACGTTGATTTGAATGAGGAATGTTTGCGCAAAGTCACCAGTCTCACTTTCTCTTCCAGAGCCATCTGAGTCCAGTGGCCAGATATTCATCAGCAGGACTGGAGATGGCCCAGGATGCAGTGGGAAACATGGGCACTTTTAAGCTAAGGTCTTTTCAAGTCCTCACTTTGAGTGAGACGATGCCCATTCAGTGAATAGGCTTCTTTAAGAAGTGAGTCAAAGGATGGCCCCTTTAATAAAAACAAAAAATGAAAAAAAAACAAAAAAAAAACCCCACAACCTGTGAGTAGTGCCAGCTGCCTGAATGGGGACCCAGCTGGCCAGTTCCAGGTGGGCAACTCAGGTTCTCCTCCCCTCTTCTGCCCTCTCCTTAGTATGTTCTGTCCAAAGGAGGGTAAATTTTGATGGACAAAAGCTACCTAGTTAACTTGGGATTTACTGAGTAGATTGCTTTCTCAAAGACTAAGCTTTAAACTAAATTCACTCTGGACCTCATGCATTGGACAACAATAGGTTCCTGCCCAAGCACCACTTAATGGTTATTTTTTGGGGCCCTCCTGGCTTGGTGCAAATGTAAATATTAACTGTTTCTCTTTTGGACAGCAACCCTGAGGGTCTTCCCCTTCCAGTTTGATTTTTTTTTATAAAAGTTGGAAAAAATTCATAAAAATAAACAGTATAGGTAGGTGTGTCTTTTTCCTCCCTCATTCACTCTATCTCTTTCTTCTTGTTTGGAGAGTGGTGGCATTCTGGTGATTCCCTTCCCTTCCCTCCCATCCCCTAGAGAGGAAAATTGCAAAACTCAGAATAGATATGCTCTGATTTTCTAAATTCAGGATTTCAGGTTGATTCAGTAGAGCTCATGCTCTTTGAGTTTATTATGGAAGTGACTATCTATTATAATAACTGACATTTATTTAGTAATTTAAAGTCTGCAAAACACTAATACACTTTTAAATTTAAACTTCAAAATAACTCTGTGAGGAAGGTGTTGTAGGCATTAATTTCCCCATTTTACAGATCAGGAAACTGAGGAAGTTGTCTCTTTTTCTCAGAGATCTCATTATTTCTAAGGACTTAAAATCTAAAAAAGATTCATTCCCTTGCTCCATTTGCCTAAATACAAATATCAATGCATTCCAGTTAGACTGGTCCAGTGGAAAACAATTCAGAATTAAATAAGATTTGCTAAGCTCTTCATATCATATCCTTTGACTCAGCAATACCACTACTGGTAATATACCCTAAGGAGGTCAAACACAGAAAGACAAGTCACATATATAACCAAAATATATAGATGCTCTTTTTATGGTAGCACTAAACTGGAAAGATAGTAGATGTCCATAGATTAGGGGATAGCTAAACAAATTGTAGTATATTAATATAATGCAATATTGTTGAGCAAAAGAGAACAACCATGAAGTATTCTGAAAAACCTGATAAAGAGCAAAGAATGCACAACCAGAAGAACAATATACAAAATGACTACAATAATATCAAGGGAAACTATACTAGAAACAAGGTAACTGAACTAGGATTAAAAGCAATGACCAATATTGGCTCAAATGGATAGATTTCACATCTCTCTCCTTTTGGTGGTGAGATGAGAGACTCCAGACATAGAATATTTTTTCTGTTGTTCAGTCATGTCTGACTCTTGGTGACCCTATTTGGAGTTTTCTCAGTAAAGTTACTAGAGTGGTTTGCCATTTCCTTCTGAAGCTCATTTTACAGATAAGGAAACTGAGGTAAGCAGGGTTAAATGCTTTGCCCAGGGTCATACAGTTATAAGTATCTGAGGCAGAATTTGAACTCAGGTCTTGCTGACTCCCTGCCATATACTCCATCCAATGCACCACTTAGCTGCCCTACAGAATGCCGCACAAACTATTAGACTTAGTAGTTGGGCCAATTAATTTTTAATTTTATTTTGTTACAGTGAAAGATTTTCTTAGTTTCTACATATGGCAAGGGGAAGGGAGGGGAGTGAGGGTAAGGGTGCATATTGGAAAATGTCTATGCTATGGTATAAAAACCAAAAGCTACCTGTATCCCTATTGGACTATGGGCAAGCCACTTAACATATGTGTGCCTCAGTTTCTCATCTGTCAAATGAGAGGGTTAGACTAGATGGCCTCTGAACTCCCTTATAAATCTATGATCCTATGATCTCAATAAAATTTTCCAAAAGCAAAGAAAAAATGTTCAACATGACCCTGATCAAGGTCACATTGTTCTGTTCTATCTCTTCAAGATACTTTCCCTACAAATTGCAGCCTTTTCTTCTGCCCCTAATATTCACTATGTGTATATATACGCCTTCTTCTTTTCATGAACTTAAGCCCTCCTCTTTTCCTTTCCGTGCTTGTCTTTTCTCTCTCTCCAAGAGTAGCATGTGTGCCTTACTTTTTGAAGTTGATGAAGTTAACTTACTCATACAAGGTAGTTATCCCATTAAGCTAATTCCAATTTCTATTGACAATGATTTATAGATTTGTCCTCAGCTAAGCTTTCTCCCAAAAGGAATCAAAACATATTTTCACACTATGTATTAATACATTTACTTCCCTGCTTCCAAAGGATGACCTGTTATTATGTAAATTAGGGGGTATGATTTGCCAAGCTAAAATATTACAAGTTCATGGGACACTTGGAAAATGATTAAAAGAAGCTCATGTTCACAAGAGCAACTTGGACAGTTCTGGTAGAAAATCTAATTTTTAAAAAGATGAGTCTTATTAACACATGTCATTGCCTTCATGAAGCCTTCTCTCATCTTCCCAACCAGAAGTAATCCCTTTCTCCTCTGAATAATAATAACACTCTCAGTGCCATATGACATCATTTATTTTTTCCTTTATTATAATTGTATCCCTCTCTTATCTTTATCCTGTGATATTGGAAATTCCTTGAAGTCATAGATGATGACATTTATTTTTTGTACCCTCAGCACCTATCAAAGAGGTTTTATACATGGTAAGCACTTGATAAGTGCGTGAGTGAGTAAAATTATTGTTAAGACCAGAAGTGGGGAACCTGCACTTTCAAGACCACATGTGGCCCTCCAGGTCCTCAAGTGTGGCCCCTTGACTGAATCCACACTTCACAGATTTGTTCTTCTGTTTAGATTTTTTGAAAGTTTGGATTCAGTCAAAGGGCCACAGTTGAGGACCTGGAGGGCCACATGTGGCCTCGAGGGCTCAGGTTCCCCACCCCTGGTTCAGACCATTCAGTCAGTTAATTAGCATTTATCTAGTGCCTAATATGCACCAAGCACCAGGCTTAGCACTAGAGAGTCAAAAAAAGACAAAAGACAGCCCTTCACAAGTATGATGGAGATCACAATATAATGGGAAAGACAACATGAAAGCAACTGTGTACAAATAATATATAGAGAACGAACTGGAGATAATAGAGGGAAAGTGTTAGCATTAAGGGTGAACAAGTAAAATGTCTTGTAGAAGATGGATTTTTAGTTGGAGCTAAGCCAGCTCAGTTAGCTATCAGGATGATTAGAAATTTCCCTAGCAACAAAAAGGATAAGGACTCCATTTAAAAGTATCCTTTCAGATTCTCCATAAACTCAATCACCATCCCCTATGAAGACATTTTGTCATAAAAGCTGATGTTATCACAGATTTAGAGTAGGAAGGGAAGTCAGGAATCATCTTCTCTGATTAACTTACTTAGTAAAGATCTGTTTGCTTATATTCATGCACCTTATAAGGCAAGATAAACAAATGACCCATGAAATAATTTTTCTTGTTTTTAGATAAATGATAAAGGCAACTTCTCCAACTCCTTTATTCAACTCTCCAAGGAGAATCACTGCCCAGTTAACTGCAGCTAGAATGTTGGATCAAATCTAATAAAATGAAACTTAATGAGGATAAATGAAAAGCCCTAAACTTGGATTTTGAAAATTCTTTTCATAACTACAAGATGAGAAAGGCACGGTGAGGCATTAATACGCAAAAGATTTTTGTAGGTTTTAATGTGCTACAAGCTCATGAGTCAACAGTATGATATTGTATAGCCCCAAAAGGCTAATGTGATTTTAGACTATTAAGGGATGCATAATGTACAGGAGCAGGAAAATGCGAGTCACGCTGTATTCTGCCCTGACCATACTCCATAACATCTTGTGTTCAGTTTTAGACACCAAATTTTAGGAAAAACATTAAGTCAAATGGAGACTACCCAGAGGAGAATGACTGGGATGTTAAAGTGACTAAAGAAAATGTGATATGAGAATTGAATAAAGAGACTGGATATGCTTTGTTGTTGTTGTTGTTGTTCGGTCATTTTCAGGTTTATTTGACTCTTCAACCCCATTTGGGGTTTTCTTGGCAAAGATACCAGAGTGGTTTGCCATTTCTTTCTCCAGCTCATTTTACAGATGAGAAAACTGAGGCAAACAGGGTTAAGTGACTTGCCCAGGATCACACAGCTAGTAAATGTCTGAGGTTGGATTTGAATTCAGGAAGATGACTCCAGATCCAGCACTCTATCCCTCAGCTGCCTCCAGATATGTTTATCCTATGGATAAGAAGCCTGGGAGGGAGATATAGCTGTCTTCAAGAATTTAAAAGGATTCCCAAAAGGGCTTGGACTTTTTCTGTTTGGCCTGGAGGAATAATTGGTGAAAGTGGCAGAGATGCAGATGTTGACTTAATGTTAAAAAAAAAATTCCTAACAAAGCTACCCAAAAATTGAAAGGGCTTCCTTAGAAGTAGTGGGATCGTGCTCACAATAGCTCTTCTGTCATTTAAGGTCACTAGAGGTCATCTGTCATTTAAGTTGAGAAGGATTCTTGTTGTTCTATAGATTGAACAGGCTGGTGCCTGGGGTTGCTAGCAAATCTGAGATACTGTGATTCTGCCATTCTGCGATACTCACTGGGTATAGTCAGTCATAAAGTTCCAAGTCAATCAATTAATTAACCAGTATTTACTAAGCACTATCTAATGCCAAGCACTGAGCTGGTACTAGGGATACAATAAAAAATGAGGTAGTTCCTGCCTTCAAGGAACTCACATGTTTATTAGGGAATACTGTAGGATCTACTCACACTCTGTCTACCATAATTCATTTAAAAATGTCTGAGTTGTAGTGTCTATGAACCTCTCATAATATGAATATAGGAATAGAAATAGGCCCTATCCTTGATGAAGCCATGATGGTGATGGCTTCTTATGATTCATCATTTCTTTCTTTTCTACAGGCTCATTATCCATTCGGGCAACGCAGCTCCTTCCTTTCATCTTCCTTTCCCTTCTCTTCCTTTCTTTTCCTTTCCCTTCTCCTTTTCCTACCCCTTCCCCTTCCCCTTCTTCCTCTCCCTCTGTCCACATAGGATATCATACCCTTACCTGCCCAATGGAATGCAAATCACTGAAACCTCTAAGGTATCTTGGATTTAGGGGCTAGATTTCTTTCTTAAGAGTCATGCCTTAAACCCAAATCACTCTGGCTCTCATAGGTTAGCCAAGATTAGGTCCCAGACCAAGTCCACAGGGTCATTGTTTGGGCCCTGATTATTCAGAATGAATGTAAATAGCAATTGTTTTGGCCAGAAACCCTAAGGATCTTCCCCTCTCAGATTGCTTTTTTTTTTTTTTGACTAGGTAAAAGAGTCCACTCTTTGCCTTATCTCTTACCTAGCCTAAGTCACTGAATGGTCCTTGCCTCAGACAAACTGAGACCTGGGAAAGACCTTAGTTTAAATAGGCCAAGGTCTCCCACTGCATCTGGGGCCATCTCCAGTCATCCTGATCTATATCTTGCCACTGGACCCAGATGACTCTGGAGAGAAAGTAAAGCGGGTGACTTCCCATAACCCTTCCTCACTTAAATCCAATTCACTTGCAAGTCATGGCATGACCTTCCTGATGTCATGGTCCTCGCAAAGGACAAATAGCAATAGTAACAACAAGATGATTAACCATCCCTTTAATAATACATTATGGAATTTTGCCAGTAATGCAAATTCACTGCCCTATATCTTCCAGACTTCTCCTTTTCAAAAAATTAGAACACTTGCCTTTCTCTGGTGCTGAGACACTTTTTCTACTTTTTATGAACTTTATTTTATTTTTAAAAGTTTTATTTATGCCTTTTGCTTTTAAATCCTATTCAATTCTAAATATAGATTACTTGCTCCTCTACCCAGATCATCCATGATCTTTCAAAGATCATTGATCAAAGCTCAACAAAACTTATCTACCAGTTCTTATATTCCCCTGGCACATGATTTGTCTAGGCCTGATAACCTGAATTCACCAAAGGAATCTAGGTGCTCTCATATATCCCTGCTCATCTTATGTTTTAAATCTCTGTCAGACATCTTTTTTTTCCCAGCTCAAAAGTGACATCCAGAGTAAAAAACAAAACAAACAAATACATGAAAAAAAGAAGCAAAAGAAACTTGAGTTCTCCATTTTTTGTCATCTGTTATTGTTGTCCAGTGCTGCCGCCACCCTTCTCCCAGAAACAGTTCTCCTTCCTTGATACTGCCCAAGACAGCTAAAAAGCAATGATAATCTTTTTATTATTCTTATCATCCCTAAATGGCTTTTCCTCATTCTGACACTATTCTTATAGGACTACTTGTATTCATCTTCCATTCACTGCTCTTGCTTCCACCTTTTATATATGTCCTCTTAAAAAAATTAAGTTGGCCAATGAATTTCTTGAGCAGCTGTTTGAAACTTTTTAAACAACTCCTTTTTCTCACCATACTTAGCTTATTTGGGGACAGAGGACAGAGAACTCAATCTGCAGTTAGATCCCAGTTCAAATCTGGCCTTGGACTCTTGTGTGATCCTGGGCAAGTCACTTAACTTCTATTTGCCTCAGTTTCCTTATCTGTAAAATGGGGATAACAATAGCCTACTTCACAGTAACCTACTTCACAGGGTTGTTGTGAGAATCAAATGAGATAATAATTGTGAAACACTTAGCATAATGCTTGACATATAGCATAGTAAGTGCTATATAAATGCTCATCATTATGATTATTGTTAAGAACTATTCTTCCTCAAGCATTTAAACACTAATAGGGCAGAACCAGCTTTTCATGGAATTTGAACCAATACAGTCTGGAATAGGAGTTACAATGAACAATCACAAGTAACCTGTACACAGGCTTTTGACCTTTGTTTGTCCTAAGACTCCCCAAAGAGGCCAAAGAAGGAGTAAAAAGAACTACTTGTACTTTCTCTACCAAACGCTAGGGGTCTCTGTACGCTATGTTACAGTTACTGAAACAATAGGTCCCAATTTTTAAAATGAATATCTCTTACCCTTCCTACAGATTGGAATGAATCTTTTGTATTATTAAATGTAGTGGCTCCACAAAATAGATGGGCAGAAAGTGCTGTTTGTCCCATAATCAAGATGGAAACATTAAAGTTGTTAGGAGAGAGGTGAAACTCTCTCTCCACATAGGTGGAGAAGAAAGAGTAGATGAAAGGAGAGATAGAGAAAGGAGTACAGGGATTTCTCAAATATACAATTTATGCATTATAACTGAACTAATCACTCCTGACTCACTGTAGTTTTCTCTAGCTATACTCAGGCTACATATTGTCCCTCCAAATTGCATATAAATTTGTTAGCATGAAATAAGAGGTAACATTCAGTCTCATGGATAAATCACGAGCTTTTTCAAGCAGAATGTCACATGTTCAGTGTACCTTAACTATTGGAAATAAAGCTTTGGGAAATAAAATAAGATCAATAAATGTAACAACAGCTTATGTGCAATCCATAGTCATCACTAGTATTTATATAGTACTTTAAGCATTGCAATCAATCAATCAATAATCATTTATTAAGCACCTATTCTATGCCAGGAACTGTGCTAAGGACTGGAAATACAGAAAGAAACAAAAGATAGTCCCTGCCCTCAAGAAGCTTAGATCCTAATAGGAGAAACAACATGCAAACAAATATATACAAAGCAAACTATATGCAAGATAAGTAGGAAATTATCAACAGAAAGACTAGAAGTAAGAGGGGTTGAAAAAGCCTTTCTGTTGGAGTTAGGATCTCAGTTGGTACTTAAAGGAAACCAGGGAGGTCAGTGGTCAGAAAGGAGGAAGGAAAGCATTCCAGGCATGGGAGACAGATAGAGAGAATGCCCAGAGTCTTTTTCATGGAACACCCAAAAGCCCAATGTCATTAGATTGAAGAGTATGTATCAGGAAGTAAGGTGTAAGAAGACTGAAAAAGTATAAAAAGGGCTTTGAATGCCAGAGGATTTTAAAATATATTTGCTCCTAGAGGCAATAGAAAGCCCCTAGAGTTTATTGGGGTGGAGCAGGGAGATGACATGATTGGATCTGTGATTTAGGAAAATCACTTTCTTCAGATAGATTATCTCATTTGATATTCACAACAACCATTTATTATAAGCACTATTTTATCCCCATGTAAGAGATTAGGAAACTGAGACAGAGAGGTTAAGTTATTCCACAGGATCCCATAGCTAGAAAGTGTCTGAGGCAAAATTTAAACTTAGGTCTTCTTGACTACAAGTCTAAAATCAGAATGTATTATATTCTAAATATATTATATTATATTATATTATATTATATTATATTATATTATATTATATTATATTATATTATATTATATTATATTATATTATATTATATTATATTCTGTATATGGTTAAAAGCAACTTACCTGTCTAAAGTATCATCAGATCTGTACCGAGTAATTGAGACTTTCTTCTCGTCCCTTTCATTTTCACTCCTATTGCCAAAAGAGTACATCAAAAAATTAATAAAATAGCAAAAATTATTCAAAAACTGTCATGCATTGCAGGGGGAAAACTGCTATGTTAAGGTAGATAAAAGATATGCATATTAACATAATTAGATTTGGGGAAAACTGCTGTGAGAGACACAAGCCTACCTGGATGCTTACTCAAACATCCATTAAGTTGTAAACCACTTTGTCCTCATCCTTTTCATTGTCATATGCAGACCTCAAGGACATTCAGATTTTTCTTTAATAATTTTAGCCTTTGGCTCCTCTTCTTTTCTTTCAGGTCCTCCCTTGCTATCATCCTCCTTTTTCAGGAATTCAAATATACACGCTGATTTACATTTTGACAGTCCTCCTAACATTTAACTCTTTAGTGTCTATCTCGGCTCCACAGACTTCCATTTCAGCTACCCATCAACAAATAACAATATTAGCTCATGTTTATATAATGCTTAAGGGTTTACAAAGTATTTTACATAAATTATCTAATTTCATCGTCACCATAACCCTATGAGATAGGAGTATTATTAACCCATTTTACAGATGAAGAAACTGAGGCTCAGAGTAGTTGACTTAACCGTAGACACAAAGCTAGGGAAGTAACTGAGTAGGCATTTGATACCAGCTTCTCTGATGCAGAATTTGAGAGCAGGAAGGAATCTAAAGGTAAAAGGAAACTTTGCTATAAAATATTTGACAAACGTCCATTCATCTTCTGCACGGTGGGGTCTACTTCCTCTCAAGTCAGGCCACTGAACTTCTGGACAGCTCCAAATGTTGGGTGTTTTTTTTCCCCTGACATTAAACCTAATTTTCCTTTTTTGAAAATTCTGCCCATTGCTCCTGATTCTGCCCTCTAGGGCCAATCAGAATAAATTTAATCCCTCCTTCATGATAGCCTTTCAAATACTTGAAGACAGCTATCATGTCCCCCAACTCAAATCTTCTCCAAACTAAACATGCCCAGAGCCTTCAACCAAATTTATGACTTGCATTCAAGGTCTTCCACCATTTTGGTTGTTCTTTTCTGGAGAATCTCTGACTTATCTAAAAAAGTTTTCTATCCATTGTGCCATCTTATCATCCTTTAGAATTGCTCTACCTTCAAAAGTCTGAACTAGTGATACATTGGTAAATGTTTAATAACCAGCTCTCCTCCTCCAAAAAATACTTTTATGTTTAATCTACATTATTAATATTTTCTCCATCATTTTCTTTAAGTCTAGATAATCAACAAAGCAATAAATCAAGCTCTGATTTGTAGCATTTGCTGATTTCTGAGATGGAAATGCTCACACTGAAAATTTAGCCATTTTTTTTGCACATGAAACTGCATGAATCTATTATGTATAACTTGCTATGCCTTTTAAATATGTAATAAGGTTCTCATGTAAATTTTTTGTTTTCCTTTTTTCTCTTCCCTCCTCTCTTAGAGATATACACAAATCTGTGTGTATAAATCTGTGTGTGTATATATAATCATTCTACACGTACTTCTATTTATCAGTTCTTTTAAACTGACTCTAGCACACCCATGAGCTGAATCCTATCTCCTATTTTTCTATCTCTCCCACTTTTTAACAAATAAAGTCTTTTCCAAATTTTTTTCACTCTCCTCTATGATCTATTATAGTCTAGACAGAATAGGAGGAGAGGTTGTTGGGGTGGTGGGAATGAAGATAGGATTTTGAGGAGAGTGAAAAGGATATTGAAAGAAATCAAGTACAAACTCCTTATTTTAAAAATGAGGAAACTGATCTCCTGAGAGGTTAAGTGATTTGCCTGAGCTTACAATCATGAAGTTATAGAACCAGGTTCAACCTCTAAGTCCAAATCCAGGGCTTTTCCTACTACATCCTACTGTCTCCCTAGGCATGAGTACTTTCAACTTCACTCTCCGTGCCTTAGGACTTCTCTATGTTTATCCATTCCTTTCTCCTTCTCTCCTATAAAAAGAAAATATGACTCTTTCCAAAAGTTAACCTCTCCACATGCACCCTTGATTCCAACTACTTTTGAGGTCTCAATTCATCAAGCATTCCCTTTTTTCCCCCAACATCCTTACATTCTCCCTTTATTCTAGCTTCTCCTCTTCATATAAAAGTATACTCAAGTCTTCCTCATAAAGAAAAAAAAATTGACCTTTCTTTTATTTGTTATCATCCCTTCAAGCTACCACTTCATCTCTTTCATCCTCTTTATTACTAAACTTTCAAAATGTTGTAAAAAAAAGTTCTAAGATGTGTGCTGATACATCCTAACCATCTGTTTACTCACCAACCCTTTGTAACCAGGTTTCAGCCCTTGCTGTTCTAATGATATTGTTTCCTCAAAGGTCACCAATTTCCTCCTACTTGCCAAATTAATTAGGCTCTTTAGTCTTCATCTTAATATTTCTGTGGTTTCTGACACTGTTTATTATATCCTTCTGCATACTCATTCTTTCTTTGGTTTCCATTTCACTGCAGTCTCATGAATCTCCTACTTCTCTGACCACTTCTCTCTTTCATTGGTTCATCTTCTTTCCCCAACTCTCTTAGATGATGGAATTCCTTCAGAGCTCTGTCCTTGGCCTTCTTCTCTTTTCTCTCTATGCTCTCTTTCTTGGCAATCTGATCCACTTCCATTACTTTAACCATTCTCTCTTTGAAGACAACTCTCAAACCTGTATCTCTAGTCCTAAAGTCTGTCCTGAGTCATAGACCTATGTTTCTAGCTCTTCACCAAATATCTCAGTCAGAATGTCCATAATCACCTCAAATGCAACATATCCAAAGCATAACTCATCATTCACCCTCTTCCCCCAAACCTGTTCCTCCTCTTGACTTCCCCATTCCTAGGAATAACACCATTATTTTCATAGTTACCTAGGCTTGAAAGCTTTGAGTCACTTTTTGACTTTTCCCTCTCAGGAATCCCTCAGTTCAAACATTTGCCAGGTCTTATCAATTTTACCTCTTCAATATTTCCTTCATTTATACCCTCTTTTCTAAGAGCAATAATTCCCACATAATAGTAGCTTGAGGTATACCAAGTGATTTCTTCACAACAGTCCTGGCAGTTAGGTAGCATAAGTTTCATTATCCCCATGGTAACCAGGGACTGACACTTGAACAGACCCCATCAGCTTGATTGACTGATATAATTCTCCATGTAGACAGGCTGACAGCTTGCTTCCTTAAAAGAGACATTGTGATGTAGGATGGAAGTGTCTTGGAGAGACTGTGGGACATTCATGGACATTCTATAACTGGTTCTAGCTGGGTAACCATGTGCTGAAGAGGTGGTTCGTTGATTGGCTATGGAGACGTTCCAGAAGGCCTATCAACTTTAGTTATTTCCTCTGCCTGATTCAATGACTCTGCTCAAGACATCCAGTGAGAGGTCATAACTGTAGGAAGAGATATCATAGTGCTTTCTCCCCTCTGAGGCCATATGGTCCTATGAAAGGACTTTGATCCTTGGCCTCTGTGTTTGCTCTCTGCTATTCTAGATGAAGGAAGTATAACCTCTATAATCTTGTGAATTGCAAAAGGTCCAAAGCAGGAGTGGGGAACCTGTGGCCTTGCGCCTCATGTGGCCTTCTAGGTCCTTGGGTGCAGCATTTTGACTGAGTCCAAATTTTATAGAAAAAATCCTTTTATCAAAGGGATTTGTCCTGTGAAGTTTGGATTCAGTCAAAAGGCTACACTTGAGGATCTAGAAGGCCATATGTGGCCTCGATGCTGCAAGTTCCCCACTCCTGGACTCCAAAGGGTACCTTGGCATCCCAGTATACAGGGTATGGGTGTGCAGCCAACACAGCATCAATGTCCTCAGGAGCAAGGAGCAAACTTTGGGAGCGACCAGCTTTTGGGAACAATCTTCTGGATTCAGGTCATCATTAGTGGAGATAAGAACTCTAGGCTTGAAATTGGTGGTACTAATGCTATGTAGGAACTGAGCTAAGTCTTCAACCTACTCTTCCCCCTGGAGAGAAGGTATAGGGGAGAGTATTCCCCCAGATATTGGAAGAAATATTTGTGTTTTATTCTTGCTAGGTATTCAAGGTAAACACAACTTTTCAAAAGCTAATTGATGTTAAGTGGTTATATGGAACTAAGGCACTAGTCATTGGCACCTAACAATAGAGGGATCTCTGCTGGCAAGGACTTGAGCTAATGATAATAGAGAAAAGAGTCCAAATCCCTCAGGGTACTCTTGAACCCTCAAGAGGAAATATAGCCAGCCTGGCTCTGGAAGCAGGAGTCATAGTAAACTCACTGCCATTTTACAGGTGACAAAACTCGGTTCAGAAAGTTTAAATAATTTTTCTGAAAGGACTCCATAAATGGCAGAGCCTGAATTGAAACCCAGTTCTTATGATTCTCAATACAATGTACATTCCACTATACAATGCTGATTTTCATTCTACTGTCACTGCAATTGCCCTAATTCAGGCATGTATTATCTCTCACCTGGCTTAATTCATTAGATTCTCAACTGGTTTCCCTGCCTCCAATCTCTCTCCACCCATAAATCATCCTACTTACTACTCCAGGTTAATAATCTTCCTAAATTATATTGTAATCTTTTCATTCCACTGCTTAAAGTCTTTCAACGTTTTCCATTGACTAATGAATTAAGTCTAAATATACTCCATTACCCAATTAACTCACCTATCCAACCTTACTTAGTGCGTACTGCTTCTCTCTTTATATTCTACAATTCAGCCAAGTTGGACTATTAACCATTCTCTGAACTCAACTCACATATTCCCATCTCTTATCTCTTTTCCTTTACTGTTTTTTATTCATGAAAATTTCTTTCTCCCGATGGCTGCCTCTTAACATCCTACTCATCCTTTAAGGCCCAGCTCAAATGTCATTTAGTTCCTGAATCCTCTGATTTCCATATCTAGATGCATCTCCCTCTCAACTCTCTGGGCACTTTTGTCTTTTTTTTAACCTCTTTAATGTTTTTCCCCCATATTTTACTTATTATCA